TTCTTTGGTCAAATGACCATTTTTCGCACAAATGGTAAAAACAATGCACCACCTGAAACACACGCACACACACACACACACACACACAACACACACACACACACACACACACACACACACAGAGATAACAAGGCAAATGTGTATTATCAGCCCCACCTCCAGAAACTTACTCAACGCAAAACCGAACCGCTGACCTATCTCCCGCTTCCTCGTTGCTGAACGGATCCGAGGGCCATCATCATCGATGAGAAGATCCATTGCATTGTGAAGAGTGGCAATTTGGCAAGTCGATTGATTGTTGATTGTCCAAGACATCACAAATTGCAAACATGCAAGCAAAACATACAGAAGTAAAAAGGCCAAGGAATCCCCACGTCAGCGATTGCCAGTGTGAAAAGCTAACAATAAAAGAAGAGCAGAAATTCAAAGAGCCGAAAGTTCACAGTACTGCACAAGCCTGAGTTGCACTGGATAGCTACTGGCTTCAAGGCCTGGCCCGCTCGCATACCCCCCGAAGGGACATCTGAGGCTCTGTCCCGCCGAAAAAGTGAAATCATACTGCCTGCCAGAGTCACACAACGCCCGACCTGTACAGGTCGGTACCAAGTGCCACTGGGCCTATTCAGGCACCGGTTGCCTGACCTGCAGCTTCGGGCCAAGTCCACATGTGGTTAACCCGGGGTGTTTTTTTTCGCCGAATTTTGCACTGAAACTGTCATATTGCCCTGATTTTTTTACTTTTTTAGTCATATTGCCCTGATTTTTTTACTTTTTTAAAGTTTTTTTTTTTCTTGTTTTTCTTTTTCGTGTGATATGTAGGTGCTCTAGGGTACGTCATGTGTCCAGTTTTGACACGTTTGGATCAATAATGAAAAAGTTGGCATTTCGTTGATTTCATTGAACGCTTCATTTTATAACTCGTCGGAAAGTGTTTTTGTGTTAGGGTTTTCTGCTGTTTTTGTGTTTTTTTGTTCGTTTTCTCTGGCCTGTTTTTTATTTTTATTTTTTTATGTTTGCACTATGGGCCCATATAGTTTGTTTTTTTAATTTTTCGCTGAGTTTTGCACCGAAACTGTCGGCAAACACAGCGAAATTTCGTCCCCCTCTGTTGACCGCGTGTCGCCCAAGTACCACCAGACCTACAGGAAGAGCCTTTGACGAAGAGTCCCAAATACTCTCTTTTTTTTTCTTTTTTCTTTTTTGGGCCATTTCTCGATTTATGTGTGTCATCCTTGCGCAGGGGCTGTTTGCTAATTACCCTTCTCTGTATCGTCCCAATTTTAGCGGATGTCCCAAAGGACGAGAGTCCCAAATACTTAAAAAGTTAAAACTCTGAAATATAACTCTCAATTATTCTGAATAACCTGGGCCCAGCTGGTTCAATGCTCATTCTGGAGGCTGTCATCACCCTTCCAAAAAAAAAAGAAAAACGAATCCAAGGGCATACTCATACAACTTCCCGGGATGTTCCCGACCACAGCTACGGCCAGATTCAGTTGACAAAGTGCAAGTGTGAACGTATGGCCAAAGGGAAAGGAAAATCGATTTATATAAATAAATACGAGACAAACAGCCCTTATTCTGCTGGCAGTTCAGTACCAAAAAAGCACCTCTGCGGAGCTCTTGCTTAGTCAAATTTCAAAGTGAAAAAAAAAAAACGAAGTACATGCATGGTGGCAGAATAGCACACACATGTAAATGGTATTAAAAAAACGAAAAAAATCTCAGTTGAAATCCTGCTGGACACAATAACAGCAGGAGGAGCTACCCCGCAGCCTCAATTAAAAGACGCGAAAAAATCCCTCCTACTTCTCCGAATTTCCTCAACAAAGAAAAATTGGAAAAAAAGGAAAAATTTTACTTGAAATCCACCTCAGAGGCGGGCCAGCAACATGCAAACACTGACAAATGTTAAGACATCCGTCACGCTACCTTTCTCTTCTGGACGGCAGGTGGCGGGGGGAGGGGGGGAGGGGGGGAGGGGGGTAATCCCCTCGCGTTACTGTATCGATCAGGATTTGAAGTAGTTTGAAGTTTGAACTCATGATCTGTTCTGTTCACCGAGAGCTGCACGTGTACCATTCAGCCACCTGGCAGGTACTCTTGTCACATGAACATGATGATGATACACTCAATATACAGAGCAACCTCGCGATAAACACATCAATAATCATGATTATCATGATCTCCGCCCCCCATTCTCCCTCACTTCTCTCTCTCTCTCTCTCTCTCTCTCTCTCTCTCTCTCTCTCTCTCTCTCTCTCTCTCTCTCTCTCTCTCTC